AGTGTTTAATTTTTTCTGAGAGTGAAGAACTCTTTTCTTGTATCCAGACACAATTTGCTTTGAAGCAATTTGCACCTGTTACCTCTTGTCCTGTGCATCCTTCTGAAGGGAATACCTCCATATTCTCTATTAATTATCTGTTATGGATTAGAAGAGTGTCATTAGATCCTCCCCTGAGCCTTCTCTTCTCTGGGCTGAACACATCCAGTTTCTTGAACCTTCTGTCAAGATCTCTGGACCTCTGATGATCTTCATGGTCATCTGATAGACTCTCTCCCTTTTTTTTCAGTTTTCTGTCATGAACTGGGAGGACCAGAACTGGACACAATATTCCAGGTGTGTCCTAACAAATATCAATAGAATGGATCTTCTTGATCTGCTAGCTATACCCCTATTGATACAACCTAGGGCTTGTTCTGCCTTCATTGCTGCAAAGGTACTGCTCACACAAGGTTAGTGCTTTCCATGGGAATCCCCCAGGTCCTTTTCAGCAAAGCTACACCCCAACTAGTCAGATCCCACCCAACTTGTACTGCTGTTTGGGATTATTTTACCTCATGTGCAAGACATTACATTTATACAATTCTTGTTGACCTGGTCTTCTCAGTTTGAGAAGGACTCTGCGTGGTGGCTATTCTTTGTGGTGTATAGTACTTGTTCTTGCAGTTTGGTATGATCCACAAACTTGGTAATCAAGCATTCAGTTCTGTCATCCACATCCTTTATGAAGATGTTGAACAGAATCGGACCCAATACCAACCTCTAGGAACTCCCGTTGTGACCAGCTGCCCATGAGTCAGTAAAAGCGTCTTAGTCTTACCCTAGGAGTTCAAGCCGTAACATTTCTGTAAGATTTTGAAATGCATAGTTTATGTAAGCAGCTTGGCAAATCAGATTATTTCAGCTGTCATCAGGATTAGTAGGTATTATCCCTCTGATTTCTACATTCTGAAATTACAGACCAGATGCGTCTTCAGAAACTCTCACATTACAGCAAGGAGGGTCCTCATGAGTTGTACATGGAGAAATGCTAAATCTGAATGAGGAGAAGAGCCATTAAGAATGGTCATTCAGCTGCAAAGAAGGACTGTTCAACAGTTTTCTATTCTGTATGAAAAGCAAAAAAAGTTTACTTTGTTTCCTCTAGAACTTGACTGACCTGAAAATTTTGGGACAGCTTCTCTCTGTGGATACTCTGTTCCAGAATTTAAGTGTTGGTCTTCTATGACATTTTTATAGCATGCCTGAGTAGCATTCCTGCATTGTGATAGTCTGCAAATAGAAAACAGAAAGAAGTCTGATCTCAAAAAACACTACTTAAAATCTAAGTATAGGAAAATAAATATAAAAAATGAAAAAGATCAGAAATTATAAAAAGTGAAAAGGTAAATTATACACATGTGCTTTTCCTCAGACACTGTCAAAGATGCACAGCTAGAATGACCCAAAGATAGGTCTGCATTAGAGAACAGTGTTCAGAATACCAAATATCATAGTGATGGTTTCACTAGTAATAAAGATAGGAAGGAAAGGAAACTATTTGCAAAAGGTAAACAGTATTAGCTCAATGCAGCCACTCTAGTGAATGTCCTGTAATCTACTTTTATCAGATGTAAACAAAAGGAACAAGTTGTCTCCATGTAATAGACTTAAAGCAGAGCGACAGTACTCTTCAATCATGCAAGGTACCGTTTCTTCAGTGCAGGGATAGTTCAACTTTCTTCCTGATTGTTGACATTTGTTTGTTCTAGGCAGATGTTAGGCTCATTCCTGTCTAGTTTTATCGCTTTGGAGTCAGTCGCTCTTCCTGGTATTTAAAAGGTCTCTATGCCTATTACAAATCAATCTGACAAGAAAAACATCTTTAAGACAAAGGAAAAAACAACAGCTCTCCCTCCAGACTATTTTCAAGTATTTGGTATGCTGCTGCTTCTCTAGGTATACACACTACTTTGCTAGTTATACAGTACAAGAATTACGAGATATGTAAAATGGGTAAGAAACTCCAAATCGATCTGGAGACAATAATGATGTATAATGTTGAAATGAGATACATGATAATAAATGAAAGTTATTAATGAAACTTCTTAAGAAGTGGTTTTAGGGCTAACCTTATTTAATATTTTCATTAGTGACCTTGACAAAAAAAATTAGGATTGTATAATGAGATTTATAGTTGACATAATGTTTGGAGTTGTTATTAAAACAGATGAAGATCACAGTGTCATACAGATGGAAGTGGAAGCCCTTGAGAACTGGTGTAATAGAAATTGAATTAAATGTAATAGTACAAAGTACAAGATAATGCACTTAAAACTAATGACAAGAAATTGTGTTATTAACATAGAGTTCATCAACTGGAAAAGATAGTTGCTGTGGCAGTTAATCAAAGCATAACTGTGAGATGCCAGTGTGAGGTGTCCATGAGAGACCAAATATAATGCTAGGAGATCTACCAGACAAACTGTAACTTATGAAAAAGAATAATACTTATTGTATTTCTGATCACTGATAATGTGGATTTAATATGAATACATTTGTCTTTCATCAACTTTTTAAGTCACAGATTAAATATACAGAAACTTTTAGGACCTCCAAAACTGACTTTTGGCATGGAGTTCCAAAATCCACTGCTTGCTTCTTGAATACATAACTACGTTTGTTTGTTCCAAACTTGTCACTTACTAGATTTTTTTGATGCCCTGTACTTTTACTGTAGGAGACTGGAAGATCTGTCCTTATCATCCTCTCCATGAAGACATGATTTTATAGATCTTTATTTTATTCCTCCATAGTCATAATTTCCCCAGTTTACTCTTTTCTTGTGAAAGCCATTCCATAATCTCAGTCAGTATCCTCTGAACCTTTTCTAATTCTACAATATCTTTTTCTGTGGTGACATATTAGAGTAGGCATACTATTTAAGATGTGTTTTCTAACCACTGAAAGATAATACACAACAGACTGGATTTGATATCCAAGATCCTTTTAGTCCTAGTTTCTTTGTTCCTAAATAAAAAATAGGAAGAATTTGAATTAACATAAACATATTTTCTAGAAAAAATGTAAAGGTATAGTAGAAGAAGTTTCATAGCAAATTTACTGACATGAGTTGGGAAGAAGAAAATGTGTGGTTTCAGATAAGATGCAGTTTGGGATTGCATTAGCTACCTCTAACGATGATCATCTGCAAGAAATAATTAAGATTATATCTCATGAAAACATATTCTTTATCAATAATTTAAGATAAAATTTAATAGAACAATGACTTCTAATACTGTACAGCAAATAATATTTTAAAAGATGTGTGAAGGTCCTGTGTTGTTAAAAATATACAAAAAGAACATAGATGCTTTTCCAGTGGCCTCAAATGAGCAGTGGCTCAAGGACTTCCCTGAAAAAAAAAAAAAAAAAAAAAAAAAAAGACAAGTGAAAGTATACTAGTGGCACAGAATAATTGTTCCTCTGCAGAACAATAAGTGTAGATTTACACTGGTTATAAATTATTTTCTTGGAGTATTACTCTCAACTGCTGCAGATGTGTTTACTAAGCAAACTTACAGCTATGCATATCAAATTTATTTTCACTAGTCATGGTCCATCAGTGACAGCAATATGCAACAGTAGGTCACAGTTTAGTAACCCTAGGTTAAGCAATTTGTAGTAAAGTACAGTGTAGGCATACCACTAGTGGAAACCTCTACCTCAGCCAGTGGAAAATTATATCAAAATACTTGGAAGTTAAAAAGTGCCAAGTCAGATTTAGATCTGAAGTTAGCACAGTTAAATTACAGAATAGCACAAATGAAACAAAGGTTGTTACATGTTTGCATATGTTCGCTGGAAAGCTGAATGTCTGTACTGCTAGAAACTAGCGTAAGGGTCATTGAAGGCAGAGAGACAAATCGAACAATACAAAATACTGGATATGATTGATGATCCTTGAAGCTCTCACCTTTTTTTGAAAATAACACTTTCTATGTATTAAAAGGTAGCAAGTCATAAAGGCATTTTTGACAAAAGAGATACACAGAGAATTGTAGGAAGTTCTTATCCTAGATGTATGGCTATAAAACCAAACCAAAAAAAAAAAAAAAAAAAAAAAAAAAAAAAAAGACAAGACTTTCTCAGGGAAGAATCAGTTGTCAAGGACATTTGAGATTAGTTTACCTGTTTTAGTCTCTTTTAGCATTTGAGATTAGCTTTGTTAATTAGCTTAAACAATAGATTTCTTATAAGTACTTGAAATTCTGTTATCCAAGTGCCAATTGTTAGTTACTGTTACTACTATGATAGGCTGAGAAAAAGGCTCCGGTGTGAGCATTTGGGAATTGGACTGTCATTCAGGCTCTCCGGCTACGCAATATGCTAACCAGCAATAACTTAGATAAGGAACTAAGTAGAGCTAAATCAAATTTCTTCACAGGCAGAGAGGAGAGGTCTGAGAGAAGACTTTCCTTCATTTCTTCCAGTGCTTCAGCCAACAATACTGAAGGGCTGGAAGTCATGAAAGCCAGATCCATGAGGAAGAGATATGGTGAAGGAGATTAGGTAATGGCCAGGCAAAGACAATGGAAGGTGAGGACAGTTATATGAGATGGAAATCAAGTCAAATGACTTCTAGAAAGAAACAAACAGAAAAAGGAGAAATGCTTAATTGTCCAACAACAACTACTACGTAATGTCAATGTTTTATTCTTGCTTAAAAATGTTGTGATAATGAAGAAAGCTACTTTGAAGAATAAACAGTTTGTATGAGACAATCTAAATCTGGCAACAAAAAAAAGCAGTTAAGACCTGTAGATCATTGCCAAAGGGTACCTTCAAAGAAGTGAAGTATAACATGTAAAAAAGAAAGCAAACTGTAATTTGGGAGATCAATGTTATTCTTCTTTTGTATCTGTTTCTATTTTGAGCCACATAAATTAGGCCTTTTCTAAAAATATAATACCACTGAACTATGGTTTTTTTTTTTTTTTGTTTGGTTTGGTTTTTTTAAGGTAAGAGGGCCCCCACTTGCAGGAGCATTTAAAGAAAGACCAACAAAGCCGACAGCATTTCGCAAGTTTTATGAGCGAGGAGACTTCCCAATTGCCCTTGAGCATGATACTAAAGGAAACAAAATCGCCTGGAAGGTAAGTCATGGCACAGCTGTGACAGCCAGCTGAGCGTATTGAAGTGACATCTCTCATTGTCAAAGTTAGCTTGTAAGTAAATAAACTGAAATAATTTCTTATCAAATGGAAGATGGTGGAAAAGCCATTAGAGAAAGGCCTCTGAGTCAGCTGTCTACCTTGGCTAACAATTAAATTATATGGTGCAAACAGGAAGATGACAGAGTTGCTTTGCCTTAGAGAATTGTCTCCTGCCCAATTCATCTCTATTTTTATGAGGACTTGGCAATGCAGCCTGTTTCAGGCAGTCCGTCAAATGATGGAAGTGGCTGGATACAGTGAGCAGCAGCCATTTATCTCCCCCAAATTTCACCTTCCTGCAGGACACTTCCAAATAGAAGCTTTAATTACCTAAATGGATAGGTCAAGATTGCCTGCTCCCTGAAAATGCAGAGCAGAATACAAACGAAGGCAGATTCTCATTCCACAGCTGTACTCTCAGTCTACAGCATATGTCAGACAGCGTAATCGCTGTCATACGTGCCTCTGTTACAGACTGACCTCCACTGCTGAAACCATTACGGCTCCGACATTTCTCTGACAAAAGGTTAATTGGCTTCAAAATAAATGTATTGCCTAATGACTCCATTCTAATGCGGCTGTGTTTCTCTCTAAAAGGCTTGGTGATGTTATTTGTAAAACTTGCCAATCTTCTAAGTAACTACTGCAGACTTTTAAATTTAATCTGAAAAATGAATGCTGATCTTTAACCTGCTCCTACTATTTAATTATTTTGGTTATCATGAATTACTTTATTTTTTTGAGTTATTTATTGAATTAGAATAAGATTTTGCTGGAAGCACTGATAGTTACAGAAAATGAACATGATATGCATGAGCAAAATATGTCAGATTTGTAGAATGTTTTAAATTATTCATGTCAAGAACATTATATCAATTTTAAATGTATAGATATGTTAATTCAAAAAAAAAAAAAAAAAAAAGGGTCAATTTTGCAATCTTATAGCTGATTCTATTCCTAACTAAGCCAACAGGATTAGACCTATAGCATGGTAAGTGGCACTATATAATTTGTTAGTAACTAGAGTTTAAGGTAGCTTTTTTGCTTACTGAAGTATAAAAGAGAGATCTGTGCTACTGTTTTGTTGCCCATAGCAGTGTTGACTCAGCACAAGGAACAATTAATAGTTCTTGAAGCAAAAGGAATCTCTATCCAACAAGACTTTACCCATGATCTGAATGAGATTCCAGTGCAACTGGTCTTTAGGCAACCCTAGAAATGCCCTTTCTGGACTAAAACTCAAAAGCTTACAATATAAGTCTACTCTCTAATCTTTCATCACCAGGTAAGACCCAAAGGTGATTTGCAAGCAACTGCAAAAAATCTGGAGAATTTGTCTTTTATCTTGAGGCATTATAACTTCTAATTTCTCAAAATCAGACTGAGAGTTACAGACCATTTACCTCATTTTAATTGCTGCCTGATACATGCATTTTCATCATAAGGACTATCATTCCACTAGATGATGCTAGTGACTGCTTAGTTGACTTAGGACACAAGAAAATTGAATGAAGCTGTGTCAGGGGAAGTTCAGATAGGACATTAGGTAAAGATTATTCACTGTGTGGTTGGTCACTGGAGCAGGCTTCCCAGGGAAATTGTCACAGCACCAAGCCTGTCAGAGTTCAAGGAGTGTCTGGATGGCGCTCTTAGTTGTATGATCTAGTTTTAAATAGGCCTGAAAGGAGCAGGGAGTTGGACATGATGATCCTTATGGGTCCCTTCCAACTTGAGGTATTATATAATTTTGTGACATCTTGCCAACTTGCTGCGTACAAGCCTTCCAATCACAGCTCAATGTCTAGAGTACGTGTTTGCTCCCTGTATCTGACAGTTTGAATTATTTGAAAATGTACAACCTTAAGATAGTCACAATAGTAGAGTCTCTAGTCAAAGATCCAGTACTTTTTTTTTTTTGGGGGGGGGGGGGGGGGGCGGGGCGAGGGGAGCACAATTTGCAATCTTACAGACCTAATATCTCCCTAGTGTCCACCTACCACATTGTCATGTAGGTAGTGCATCTAGGACTGAGATGTCATGCAACAGTTGCTTTTTCTATTTATGTTAACCTTTTCTTTTGAAACAAATTATCAGTACTTCAGCATGCATGCAAGAAGGCAACATAGTAGCAGACTATTCCATTCTTACATTAGCCCATGGCAGGGTCCAACCTTCTCTCCCTTAGTCCATGCCACTTGATTTAGTCACAAATCAATCCCGACTGAGTTCTGTGGCAAGCACTCAAGAAAACAATACTGAGGTAGCAGTTACTTGAGGTTGTTTAATTTGGCATGAAACCATCATTGATTGTTGTGTAGTTTAAGTAGATGAAGCAGGCAAATAGAAGTTTTCTAGTTCAAACTTTGCATTAGATAGATTCTAAAGTCTTAGAGGCTGCCCACCACTGTAAAAGTGTGAGAATTAGCTAATATTTAAAGGTACAGATAAAGTAAGGTCTGTATTTTTCACTGGTTTTAAGGACATGCAAATAGTCTAAATATCCAACACATACCTAACGGCTAATTTTCATCAGTTCATCATTGTTCTTTGTAAGTCTGATTAAATAAGTAATCTTTTCAGAAATATATGTTACTCAATACTGCTTAAATTCATGAAAATGAAAAAAATACTTTAAAAATGAAATGTGTCTAGGCAAAATGTTCTATAAAATCTTGGCTGAACTGTATTTATTTGCATGAATCATGGTTCTAGTGGAAGGATAAAAAGAATAATGATAACAGTGATATTTTAATCCTGCTGTAATTGCACAATATCAATCTTTTATTGTGAGAGGGTTTTTTTGCTCTGTTTAGATGTAATATACATCATGGTTCATTTCACTCTTGTTTGTCTACCAAGTGATGCATGAGAGAAAATGCAGGGGGGTCTCAGAAACTTGATTTGTTCTGACAGAGGAAAATACTACAGGATTTTGTTCTTTCTTGTAAAACACACAGTTGTTTTTTGTTTGTTTCTTTATTTGATTTTTTTTTTTTTTATATAATTAATGAAACAAAACAAAGTAACCGCAATTGTCAGACAAATATTTTTTTTGAAAACTCTTCTAACTCTTGTGCACTATATTGTAATTCAGTGGACAGAATGCAGTCATTTTCAGCTAGAACATATGAATCTGAAATGTTCTAATATTCATGAATTGTGTTAATATGTACCAAAAAAATATGTACAAACAACCCTTGATTTTGTATCAGTTCTGCATATCCCTAATTTTAATCCTGTGATTAATTTCCTGTAAAAGCTGACTACATACAACTATGTTTGCAGACCTAGATAAGATATAAATTTAAAGTTCAGGAGCTATTCAGAACTATTTCTGAATAACTGCATATGTTAAACCTTTAATTCTGAAATAATAGGACTTGGTTGTTCTTGTTGTTTAGCTTAATTATTTCCAAAATACACTAAGTTTATAAAGAGGCATTTTTACTGCAAATTAATCCTGAACATAGGCAAGATTAAACTCTGCAGATAAACCATGGTGTTTACCTGGTGCCTTTTCTTTAAAAAGGGACCAAAGCAAATTAGATCTCACTACAAGATCATTATAGCAAGATGTGTCTTCTGTGTGAATTCTCAGACTAAGTCTTTAAGTTTAGGAAGGCACCTCTTTGCATGCTTCTGTAATATTGGCATTCTGATTGGTAAGTTTTACTATTATGGCAAGTTCAAATAAGTGTGTTTAGACCTAGTGGAAGAAAACAAATGAACAGATAAAATAAATATGTTTACAGCATATAAATCATTATATACAAGAAATGGAAATGAAACCCGGTTTTGAAGAATACCATCCAGAGGAAAACAAAACAAAACAAAACTTAAAAAGCTCTGATAATACCAAATTGAAATTATCTGGTGTTAGAGGCTGTAACCACATTTATTTCTAAAAGCAGATGACATGACTGTCTTGGTGTTCCTAGTCTTTGTTTTCAAAACTGGAAAAAAAGTTGTCCTTTTGTCATTTTCAAAAGGTGAATATAGAGAAGGACTTGATAATCATGTCTGTGAAAAGAAACACACCATCATTGTAACTCACTACGCAAGTTTCTGGGTTTTATTACAACTAAAGTGAAAGAATCCATACAAAATTAATTCAAGACTTTTTATCCCCATTCAGGGGATTTACTAGCAGCCAGTGAATCTTTTGCTAAATGGCATGCACTCAATGTAATATTTTAATATCTAATTTGAATTCTTTGTTTTCATACTCCCTCAGTGGTCATTAAATAGAACTGTATGGATATTAGTGCCTTAAAATTGCTGCAAATATATAATACTCTTATTTTTTGATAAACCAGTAGCTTTTGATATCTAGAAACAAACAACTTCTTTGGTTGAATTATTCAACAAATGTTCAAGGGTCTTTTTAAATTTGAAGCATTCGGTTTTGTCCGCTAACAAAGAATGAATAATAATGATATGGTTTGAAAATGTATTTCTGATGTGTATCAAATGTAAAAGTTTGGAACATAAATGGTTGTTAATTTAGAGTTAGATAATATTATAAAGTGATCTTTTTTGAAAAAGAATGTGTTAAAATATTTGTAATCCCTTTGACTGCTTATGTGGGATCCTGCAGTTTTCCTTTAGCCTATTTTATTTCAAAAGGTAGTAATATATTCTTTTGCACAATCTCATACCAAGCTACAAATAATAAAAGCTCATAGTTCAGGTCTGAAAAAGACTTGCATTTTTAAATATACGTTACTGAATTAAAAAAGGTCAGAATGCAATTAAACCTCTGACTAAGAAAGTTGATAGAGAAAGTATTTCTGAGTTATTAAGAATGTGTTTGAAATGCAGTTTTCTGTATCATACAGAAAGTCATCAGGATGTTTGAAAGATTATTTTTTAGGGGGTGGGGTTAATTATGAAAGTCATTATGCAGGGAGAAAAAAAGCTTCTATTCTTCAAAAGAATTA